TGCCTAAGCATCTTCAGGGTTTTTTCAACCTGAGCCTCTTCAAATGTGTTGGCATTGTCTGTCTTTCAAAATTTTCTTCCCTCAGAATCTTGCTGCTTCATTTTAGGATTTTTTTTCTCGTTCTCTTTTTTCACTGGCAGACTTCTAGAAATAGGGGTCTGCATTTGGATCTTGCCTCCTGATTGCTCCTAACCCATTGGTTCCTTCTTCCCAAGGTTACCTGTAATTGCTTGATCATGAAGCCCAGTGGCCTTTCCCCCATCTCTGCCCTATTTGTAGCCTATTTGAGTGCGTTGTGCTCTTGTGGGTCTACAGAACTCCTGGGCCTCGTGTCTCCTGCTGTTTCTGCCTTTGGCCTCCACATGTGGTACTTGAGGCTTGTCTTCAACCTTCTTACTTTTCACACTCTGCATCCTTTCCCTTGAGGAATTCATTTACTCCCAAGGCGGCAGCCACCCCTCTTGGAGCTGACTCCTAGATCTGCATCCACACTCTTTTCCTGAATTTGAGTCATACTCTCGGCTGGAAAGATCTCCGCCTGATTGTCTCCATCATTACACGAAACCACTATTCGTTTGTGTCCCCTTCCCCCGTTAGCGCCCTCTATGGTTTCATGAGACCCTGTTTATTCCAGCTCTGCTACCATCCATTTGTGCAACTTCAGGCAAATTCTTCAACCTTCTTAGCCTCAGTTTCCACATTTGTAAGATCTAAATGATTTCTGAATCTGAGTCTATAAGTGGATCCTGATACTACTGCTTACTAGCTCAACCTGACCTGAACAAATTATGGATTTTCTCTAAGCTTCAATGTCTTCCTTTAAAAAATTTTTTTAATACTTACTCATTTTTGAGAGACAGAGCATGAGCGGGGGAGGGGCAGAGAGAGAGGGAGACACAGAATCCGAGGCAGGCTCCAGGCTCTGAGCTGTCAGCACAGAGCCCGACTCGGGGCTTGAACTCACAAGCTGTGAGATCAAGACCTGAGCCGAAGGCAGATGCTCAACCGACTGAGCCACCCGGGTGCCCCCAGTGTCTTCATTTTAAAATGAAAACATTAGGGGCGCCCGGGTGGCTCAGTCAGTTAAGTGTCCAACTCTTGATTTCAACTCAGGTCATGATCTTGTGGTTCGTGGGATTGAACCTCACATCAGGTTCTGGGGTTGACAGGGTGGAGTCTGCTTGGGATTCTCTCTGCGCCTTCCCCATTCGCGTGCATGCTTTGTCTCTCTCTCTCTCTCTCAAAATAAATAAAAACTTTAAAAAAATAAATAAAATGAAAACATTAATATTTAACTCATAAGGTCGATTTGAGAATTACATGAGAATTAAAGCTGCAAGTGTGCAGCTGAGTGTAGGTAATGGTTAGTACAGTAGCTATTCTTTCTGTTGTCTGGGCTTGATATCTTGGAACTGTTTTTTGATCTCTTCGTCTCTCCTGCGTCCAGGGAGTAGTCAAATCTTTTTTTTTTTTTTTTTAATTTCTTTTAACGTTTTATTTATTTTTGAGACAGGGAGAGACAGAGCACGAACAGGGGAGGGTCAGAGAGAGGGAGACACAGAATCCGAAGCAGGCTCCAGGCTCCGAGCGGTCAGCACAGAGCCTGACGCGGGGCTCGAACTCACGGACTGCGAGATCATGACCCGAGCCGAAGTCGGCCGCCTAACCGACTGAGCCACCAAGGCGCCCCAAAGGGAGTAGTCAAATCTTACCCAGTCTCATCCGGTCATTCCTTGGCAGTGCCTTGATAATGCACTGGCAAGTGCCTTTATCAGTGACTGTCCACTTCCTGCAGGCTGCTGCGGTGGGTCCTTTGTATGTGTTGATTTCCATCTTTCCCATTTCCCACAATGGAGCGGTTGATATTTCTGCTGAGAAAACAGCTTCAGAGATTTTACGTGACTGACTCGGGTCTCATGAGTAATAAATATTGGCCAACACCAAGGTTCAAACTAAGTCTGGCTACCATTAAAGCCAGCTCCGTCTCCTCCATCTCAGGCTTTCTCCTTCCCTCCCTCCTTCCTTCTGAGTTCCACTGCCTGCAGTCAAAATCAATCTCTCCCAATCTTGTGTTTAGTGGCCTGTCTGCCTCGGCCCTCCCAGTTCCCTTTCTTCCCATCCATCATCAGATTTTCCTCCACTTCTTCCTGGGAGACGTTTAACAACCTCCATCATCTCCTGAAGACATCTGGCGTTTAGGGCCTCCCTCTGAAGCCTCATTTCTTATATTCCAGACAAAGAGCTGTTTTGTGTGTCTCCAGCATTCTTTGTATGTTTTGTGACTTTTTTTGAAGTTTATTTATTTATTTTGAGAGATACAGAGACAGTGTGAGTAGGGGAGGGGCAGAGAGAGAGGGAGAGAGAGAAAATCCCAAGCAGGCTCCGCACCGTCAAGTGCACAGCCTGATGTGGTTCTCGAACTCACGAAACTGACCTGAGCTGAAACTGAGAGTTGGATGCTTAACGGACAGAGCCACCCAGGTGTCCTTATTTTGTGATTTTTTTTTTTTTTAAACACTTTTTCTCTGTCCAGATGAAGTCTCAGTAGTGGCATAAAAACTCTCCTGACTGGATAAGTCCATTGTTAGTATTGTTATTTTAACAGACACAACTATTTTAGCCAGGTGTTGATACAGATTCATTATTTGGATCATATACGTGTATGTCATTGGAGCTCCGATTAGAGACCTCTTTTGGTGTCTCTTCTTAAGAGTCTTTGAATTCAGCAGTTGTGTGAATCCTGAATTCATTTTCTGGCTTTCCCTGGTCCTTTCCAGGGCAGTGATATCTGCTATGGAAACGTAACCTGGTGGTTGTGGAGATCAAAGGTACCCATCACAGCATTATTACAGTGGAAAGTGAAAATGCTAAAAATATGATGTAAGGAAATGGTGAGCCAATTATGAACATTATGCAGCCATTAGAATAGTCTTTGGCAAGAATTCCAGACACCAGGGGAAACGGCTTTTGTTACGTTAACAACAACAACTAACAACGGAATCAAGACAAATAAGCAATAGTCTTCTCATGGAGACTTAAAATATGTTATATAAAATATGGGGGGGAAGGCGCCTGGGTGGCTGTCAGTTGGTTGAGCTTCTGACTTCGGCTTAGGTCATGATCTCAAAGCTCTTGGGTTCGTGCCCCATGTCGGGCTCTGCTGAGAGCTCAGAGCCTGGAACCTGCTTCGGATTCTGTGTCTTCCTCTCTCTCTGCCCCTCCTCCTCTCACGCTGTCTCTCTTTCTCGCTCAAAAATAAATAAACATTAAAAAAATTTTTTTTAAATAAAATATGGGGGGAAGAGTTGTTGATTAAGGGGTTATTTGTAATTTTTTTCTTGTTTTGCTACAATTTCCTGTACTTGGCAAGTTTGCAGCTATGAAGACATAACTTTATTGTCAGACAAATGAATGTAATGACTTACAACAAACAAGGGTGCAGAGATAATTCCTTGTGTTGGGGGCCCTCAAGATGACGCCTAGATCCAGTGATTTGCCGGGAGAACTCATGGGACTCAGCATACAGTCATAGAGATGATTACGACTTATCATGGCAAAATGGTATAAAGCAAAATCCAGAGGAAACTAGGCACAAACCTCAGGACAGACACACTTACATGCTCTAGCAATGAGATGTAACAACACACGTGAAGTGTTGTCTACCCGGGAAGCTCATTAGAGGCTCCAGTGCCCAGGGTTTTTATTGGGGTTGTTCCCATAGGCAGCCTTTGCCTGGTACCTACCAAAATTCTAGATGCCCAGAAGGAAAGGAGGTGTTCAGCATAAGCCACACTGTTTGTACCAACCGTTTGAGGCACGGTGAGCCCCTCTTCAGAGGGAAAGGTGGGAACCCTTCCCACATCCAGGTTCCCAGAGGCCAGTGAGGGGCCAGCGTGAGCAGGCCTTTCTCAGCTGGTCATCTCGGGCCACGTGATCTCTTTTCTGCACGTTCCCTCGTTCCTCGTGCCTCCCGTTTCCTCAACTCCGTCAGGGAGTAAATATCAGGATTCTTACTTCTTCTCACCGGCCCTTCCATCATACACTGATGGCCTTTTCAGAGTCCAGTAAAAGAGGCCACTTCTGTTATGTCTGCACTTTGGGATCTGAGAGGACGGTCTGAGGCAGCGCAGACACACGTTTCTACCGCCCACGCCTTTCTCAGGGCCAGAGGGGTGGTTCCTTCGTGGGCCCAGTGGTGAGGCCCACGCGGAGCCCGGGGAGCAGAGGCAGCACCATGAGTGACAGCTTCTAGCTCCTGGCGCCTGGCTTTGTGTGTTTTTCCTTTGGCTTTAACTGCTTCAAAATCAATTAGCTCACCGTCATTAGAGTGCAGGCAGTCACACGTTTGGCCAGGATGCAAGGCCCTGAGGCTCTGAGTACACTTTGCCTCCCTTCTACAAACAGAATGCGTCGACCTTTCTCTTGGGTGGGACAGACTGCAGAGTGATGGCTTCGTGCCCACCTTTTGTCATCCTGGGTGATGTCAAGACCCGGCTCATGTCTAGGGCCTGCGCTGTTCTGGTCCATGATGTGATGTCCCTTTCTCAGCATGGTCCTTGACAGCCCAGAATGGAGGGGACTCACTGAAGTTCCTTGCTGCCAATCCCTGTCCCCCATCACCCACCGTTTACCCGGCAGACCCCCTTCCAGCACCTGCCTGGACACCCACGTACATAGCTAAGGCTGCAGGTTCAGTTTAACAAAGGAATTCATTTTCTTCCCACTCACCCCCACCGGCTTTGCCCTGTTTGTATTCGATGGAATCTGGGACCTCTTCTGCTGTAAAACACACAAACAAAATTTTTGTCATAATGGAGGCAAGTCCCCTCCATTTGAGATTTTGATATTACCAAGAAGACACAGCACTTCTGGTTGTGCCTGCTTACGGTGTCTGGGCTTTATCCTTGATGAATGCTCCTGGCTTTCTGCAGCGGCCGGTGGAACAATTTATTATGTTAAGCTTGTGTTTACTTTTACTTTTTAATCCCCGCCCTCTTTAGCAACTTACATCGATGAAGATGAAAACGAAATACTTGAATTATCATCAAATAAAACATTCTTGGTCGAGCTAAAGATTCCAGAGGACTGTGTTACCGAGGAGGAGTTGCCTCACCAGCTCAGGAAAAGGGTAATTATATCTTAAGCATTATTTACAGAGTCCTTAGCATTAGAATGTGGGTTCTTGGAGAAGAGCTGGCATTGGGCTCTCAAGTAAGTAGCTTCAGGCTTGGATTCTTTGTCTGGGTTTTGGCAGAAACTGATGCTTAGAAATGGGTTTTCTGTAGTGTAAAGCCCGACAGAAGAGCTCTGGTCTCCAGCTAAATGCGTCCTGGAGGACAGTGTTCCGTTTCCTCACTCTGGTCTTACATTTGATTCAACCTGTAGTGTCACTGAGGGTCTTTGATGTGCTAGACAGCTTGCCAAGTGTCAGAGCCATAAGGTCTGTGCCCTCAGTGGGGGTTCACAGTCCAAAAAGAGGAAGCAATTCAATAGTTCTAAAACAGGGCGATATGTTCTATCGTGGAGATGCATATAGAATATTTTAAAGGCACAAAGGAGGGGCCTCTAAACTACCTGAGGTGAGGATGAAGGCTTGGAGGGCCTCTTGGAGGAGGTGATACTCGGGATGAGTCTTGAAATATGAGGCAGGAGTGTTCTAGATAAAAGAGTGGAGAACACTGCACAGCAGCATGTGGTGGGGATTTGCAGAGGCGAGGTGTGGTTTTCTTATTCTTTGGCAAGGCACCGGAAAAAAAATTTTTTTTTCCCTCAAAGTATCCAAAATTTATTTTGTTTTGTATCTATTCACAGACCTTACAAATTGAGTCACTATGTACGTATTGATTTTCAGTGTCTTTTGAAACCGTAACAGAAGTAGGATTTTTTTTTACCTTGTTTGATTATTGTTTTTTTTAAATTTACATCCAAGTTAGGTAGCGTCTAGTGCAACAATGATTTCAGGAGTAGATTCCTTAGTGCCCCTTACCCATTTATCCCGTCCCCCCTCCCACAACCCCTCCCGTAACCCTCAGTTGGTTCTCCATATTTATGAGTCTCTTCTGTTTTTGTCCCCCTCCCTGTTTTTATATTCTTTTTGTTTCCCTTCCCTTATGTTCATCTGTTTTGTCTCTGAAAGTCCTCATATGAGTGAAGTCATATGATTTTTGTCTTTCTCTAATTTCACTTAGCATATTACCCTCTAGTTCCAACCACGTTGTTGCAAATGTCAATATTTCATTCTTTTTGATTGCTGAGTAATACTCCATTGTATGTATGTGTGTGTATATATATATATATATATACACACACACGCCATATATATATATATATATATATATATATATATACATACACACACACATACCACATCTTCTTTATCCATTCATCCATCGATGGACATGTGGACTCTTCCCATACTTTGGCTATTGTTGATAGTGCTGCTATAAACACAGGGGTACATGTGTCCCTTCGAAACAGCACACCTTTATCCCGTGGATAAATGCCTAGTAGTGCAATTGCTGGGTCGTAGGGTAGTTCTGTTTTTAGTTTTTTGAGGAACCTCCATACTGTTTTCCAGAGTGGCTGCACCAGCTTGCATTCCCAGGCACTGAAAATTTTTAACGTTCGCTGACATGGTCAACCTTTCATTTGAGCCCTTGTGTGTGGTGATGGAGAAACACTGGAGGGTTGGTTGGGTTCACAGCCAGACCCAGGAAAGTATAGGCTAAGAGAGTGTAAGCAAGACCAGCCTGGCACGCATTACATGCTTATCTGCAGTTGATAGGTTGAATGGTGTGAGTCACCCTCCTTTGGTTTCCCTTTGATTCCTAGGAAGGCTCCCACAGGAAGAGATTCCTTCTCGGTCACCCCCGACTTCGTTTCTGGGTACTGAGGTGCATGATATTTGATTGCGCCTTTGGTCACAGGAGTTTGTGCTCTGGGATGATTATCTGGGCTTCTCTTCTTCCTTCTTTCCCTTGTTTAAATCTTACCTGCAAGCCCCCTTCCCTCCTTTTCTTCCACCTGATTCCAGAGCAAGTGGCCAAGTGAATAGCCTCCTGCCTTTTTCCTCTTGACTGTTTTTTTCATCAAGGGGTTTTGCATTTGCCGAGCAGAAATGAAATGATTCAGCATCTGCACATGTCACGTGTTACAGACTGAATTCTTGATGTCAAAGGGAAATGGATATTAATCATTCACCTTAGAGCCATATCTCTGGCACAGAGCCAGACATGAGCAGATTCTGCAGGTATTTTTATTTATTTATTTATTTTATTTTTTTTTTAATTTTTTTTTTCAACGTTTATTTATTTTTGGGACAGAGAGAGGCAGAGCATGAACAGGGGAGGGGCAGAGAGAGAGGGAGACACAGAATCGGAAACAGGCTCCAGGCTCTGAGCCATCAGCCCAGAGCCCGACACGGGGCTCGAACTCACGGACCGCGAGATCGTGACCTGGCTGAAGTCGGACGCTTAACCGACTGCGCCACCCAGGCGCCCCTCTGCAGGTATTTTTAGCTCATCACTGTGTAGTGCCAGAACAGGGACTGGCGTGATCCCTGGGGCAAGTTTACAGGCCAGTTTGAGCTGGTTCCTTCTGGGATCAGTGGAAATCATTATACATTCCCTGTATACCCACAGGTGCATATGAGATGCGTATAAACAACTCCGTAAAACATTAAAAAAAGCTTTTTTTAATGTTTAATTTTGAGAGAGAGAGAGAGAGAAAGAGAGAGAGAGAGAAAGAGCATGAGCAGGACAGAGAGAGGGAAACAGCAGGGCTCAAACTCAAGAACCAGAAGATCATGACCTGAGCCGAAGTCAGACGCTTAACCTACTGAGCCACCCAGGCACCATCTCTGTAAAACATTTTTTTTTTAAAAAAAGAGCTATCTGGTTTGCAAGATGATACAAGTTAAGGCACAGTGAAGTGAAAAAGCTACTGCCTTCTGGTGTCCCAACCAAATATGTCCAGGAACAAAAGTGAGCAACTTATAGATATTAGTCTTTTTTTTTTTTTTTTTTTTTTTTGAGAAAGAGAGAGGGCACACCAGCCGGGCAGGAAGAGAAAGAATCTTAAGCAGGCTCCATGCACCCAGCACCGGGGAGCCTGATGTGGGGTTCATTGTGGGGTTTGACGTGGGGCTCGATCTCACAACCATGAGATGATGACCTGAGCTGAAATCAAGAGTTGGACACTTACCTGACTGAGCCACCCAGCTGCCCCATGAGATGTTAGTCTTACTGTTAGGTCAAAAACTCCTTTCATTCACTCAGGCCAACTTCTGGAAGTTTCCGGATACGGAAGGTAAATGAGAATGAACAGTGGAACACCATGTCCTCGCTTTTGCTTTATTGTCTTGCTTCTCTAAACAATTTTCCTAGCCTCTCGCTTATCCTACTGCCAGAGTTTTCTTCTCTTGCAGGTGGGGCCCTGATTCTGCTTAAGCCAGCCTGTTACGTGCATGTCGTGTTAACCCTGGCCTGTGTGCTTGATGCAGGGGTTAACAGTGGCTTCTCCAGTAACACAGGGAAGCTGTCTCCCTGGTCCCGAATTAGCGACTCTGCCCAATTCTGGTAGCTCACTGGGCGCCTCGCTCAGGGTGCACCCAGCCTCATAGGCACAGCGTGGGACACCAGAGCAAGGGGTGAGAGGTCCCTCATTTCACTTCTTTGGGCCAAAGTAATGTGGTTAACGGCTCCTAGATATGTGAACATGTCCTAATGACAGCAGGGGACGTGTCACCAAAAAGAATCAGAATCATAGAGCGGACACTAAAAGGGATCTGATATACCATTTCAGCTCTTAACATAAAATTTTAGCTTAAAATTTTTTTCTGAGGGGACCCCTGAGTGGCTCAGTTGGTTAAGTGTCTGATTCTTGGTTTTGGCTCAGGTCATGGTCTCACGGTTGTGAGTTCAAGCCCCGCATGGGGCTATGCACTGACGGCAAGGAGCCCTACTTGGGATTCTCTCTCTCCCTGCCTCTCTGCCCCTCCCCTGTCTTTCTCAAAAATAAACATTTAAAAGTAAATAAATAAAGGGTGCTTGGGTGGCTCAGTTTGTTGAGTATCCATCTGCAGCTCAGGTCATGATCTTACAGTTGGTGAGTTCGAGCCCCACGTTGGGCTCTGTGCTGACAGCTCAGAGCCTGGAGCCTGCTTCGGATTCTGTGTCTCCCTCTCTCTCTGCCCCTCCCCTACTCATTCTCTCTCTCTCTCTCTCTCTTTCTCTGTCAAAAATGAATAAACATTTTAAAAAATAAACAAAAATAAATGTATTTATTTAAATGACATTTTTTCTGAGAGTCTACTATATGCAAAATAGTACTAGGCCCTAAGGATTAAAAAGGAAGAGGAGAGAGGAAACAGAGAAGGCTGGAAGGACATAATCTCTTCCATAATACGTGTGTGTGTGTGTGTGTGTGTGTGTATGTAAGGAAGTGCGTGGAAAGAACACCATCGCTAGCATTTCCCCCCCCTTCTCCTCCTCCTCTTTCTCCTCCTCCTCTTCCTCCTTCCTGTTGTTCTGTGCAACCCTGTGAGAGCCACCTTCTTACTTCTTGCATGGACCTGTTGGCAGCTTTCTTTTCTCTGAGGCTCAACAACTGTAAGATGACCTAGTCATTTTTTTCTGAAGTTCTTATCACTTTATGCTTCTTTCCTCCTTGGTATTCAGGACACTTTCCTTCTTGCTTCATCCTCACTGGGTAGTGTGGTAACATGTGAGGAGGAGGGGATTTAGTGTCTGTAACACCTAGGACTGGATTCTTTGTGAGCAGAGTGGCCTTGGGCAGGTTTCATGACCTTTCCGAAAGCTGTGTCCTTTATTAATGAAAGGGGAAGAGGTAGTAATGCCTCTTATGTCAGGTTCTTGTAAAGAGCACGGCAAAAGTGACAAGATTGGAGGCATACAAACTGTAGGTGCTCTGATCCCCCCCGCTCCACCTTCAGGAGATTGAATTGGCACCAGGTGAATTCAGTGGGCACGTTTGTGGAAATGTAAGCGCCTGGAGATTCTGTTGGGAAGTAGGTGGGAGACAAAACGAGCGGAGCTCCCCTCAGGGCACTGCTTTTAGGCTAGGATTCCTATGTCTGAAATGTGAGGAAAAGGCTAATCAAAGGCTTGGAGAAGGCATTTGTAATGTAACACCAGCTAGCGTTTAGACTATAACACCAAACATTCCAGATCCAGAAGTTGCAGATACCGCCAAGGAACAGGCAACCCAAGAGAAAGACAGGAAACCGATACTAATTCAAAGGTGAGAAATCCCAGAGTTCGTAAACACACATGAAAAGATTCTCCAATCCCACTAGTAAAAATGCATATGGAAAACCATTTTGTACCCCTTAGATTGGCAATAATTAAAAACCCCGAAACCTGGTAACGCTAAGTGCCAGCAAGGCCGCGGGAAATGTAACACACTTGCTGGGATGGAGAGCAGACTCAAGGGAAACTTTTACACGTACAAGAAGAGTGGCGCAGAAATGTTCAAGGGTGATTGCTTGGGCATGGTTTGTGATAAGAGGAGATTCGTGCCAACAGTGCACATGGCCATCATAGGGGGATGGAAGGGTCGGTGTGACCATTCAGTGACCATTCAGTCAGTGGTGACTCCGCAAGAGTTAGGAGTTAGCGTGAATGACCTCCGTCTCTACGTACCATCATGGGGAGTTATCAAATGTAATTTGGAGTGAAAAAAAGAAGAACGTGTAGACTATGGCACCTTTTATTTGCATAAAAACACAAAGTAATTATGAATTGTTATGTTACGCAAGGAACTATTACATTTGGAAAAACATGGCGTGAAAAGGATACGCGCCGACTTGTGGACAATGATTCGTACTGGGGAAGGGAGGGAGGAAAAATAGTGTGTAGGAGGCGGTTTAGCTTTGTTTTGTTTTTGAAATAAAGGGCTGAACTAAGTACAGGAAAATGTGAAGTCACGAAACCTGGGTATTGGGAACACAGCTGCCATTTTTTGTGTGCGATTGCAGTATTTCATGCATAAAACGAGGACTCTGTATCTTTGCAATTTGAGGCCAGCTCCATTTGGTCCCATTACCCAGGGGAAGGTGCTATTCCTGTGGCTTCCGTGGCTGTTTCTCCTCACAGTAAAGCTCTGCGGAAAGGAGAGAAGAAGCCCTTGTCCAGTGTTGTGCCAGGCCCCGGGTGGCCTGTTCTGCCACCGTCCCAGCCCCTGCCGTGTTGTCTCCTGCCTGGGGTCTTGGGGTTTGTTGGGCTCTGGCTGCAGACCACTCCCAGCGTGAAGGCTACAGGGGTCAGCACAACACGTAAGAGATGTTGAAAATCCCAGCCTGGCCACTTGCTCCTTTTAAATGAGTGTTAGCTTGAGTTTCAGTTGGGGTAGGCCCACACCTTCCTGTTTCTCGGTCCGGAGCCTCTGGATAAGTGAATTCCTACCTAGTGTGGAATCTCTGTCTATGGGGGTTTTGCTTTGTCAGGTGATACAGACGCAATATGATCCATCTGTAACGCGTGTGGTTGTTTTCCTTGTTCCTGTTTTTTTTAGCTCACAGATGTGTACAGTTCATCCCCGTCTCTGAGTCGTTACTTTACTTCAGTGGAAATTACGGACTTCAGGTAAGAATGTGAAGCGTGCCACGTTGCTCTTTCTCTGGAAAGCAACCCCCATCACCATTTGTCTAGAAGGACTTCCTGAGTGTCAAAGCACAAAAGGAACTGATGATGGGATGTGATGGCTTTGGCTTTGGAAGGGTTTTTGGAAACTTACTAGCTCAACTCCCTGATTTTACAAAGGAGCGAAGTGAAGCCCTGATTAATTATATGACTCAACAGGGTCGCATGGAAGAGAGGAGAAGCCACTCCCAGGTAAACCATTCCTGCAGATGTTCCAATAAGCTAGGGGTAGGAATAGAAATAGATCTCAGATAGTGACGTGATGTAAATGGTATAATCCAGATACTAGCTTTTGCTTTTGAGGAACACAAGGAATACAGGAGTCTATGCTCCTTATACAATATTAAAAATATAAAGACATCTCATACAGGAAAAGTCTACCGTTTCCTTCCACCCCACCTACTACCCCTGGATATTGCATGTTCTAGTCAATTCCATACACATGGTATGTTCTGCTCCCTTCTACTGAACGGGCTGCCATCAACAGTTTGGTGTGATTTCTTCTATTCATGTACTTACCATATATACTTTATATATTATACATGTATAGTAAATACATGCATATATATAGTTTTTCTTTATATATCTCTTAATCCTAAATATTTTTGTCTCTATCTATAGAACCTAGATAAAAGGTGTATGTGTGTAGGGGTGTCATCTGATTATTTTTTTGTATCGTTAGGAGAAGATTTACATGACAAAGCTTTCTTATCCACTATTCTTAAGATATCTCTGGAATGTGACCATCACAGATAGTATTACCTTAAAAAAGAGATAGTATTATATTGGGATTCCTGCTTCTCAAACTATAAATTTCCCAGGCCATAATCTTAGTACAGGGGGGGAAGCATTAGTACAGGGGGGAAGCTACCGAGGTGATAGCACAACGGGATAGGGCCAAAAGGGACCTGAAGTCTGAAACTGCATACAGTGGCGGGTTGCCTTGACAACTCCATCCCTCTTTCTTTATGGACCCCCCACTGTGCATATCACCTTACGGTTACATCTTTGACATTGCTCGTTTTAATCACAAATTACTGGTATTAAAATGCCGATAAAAAAGCCCAGCACATTTTCCTCTATATACTAGCCCCGACTTGCAATTTAAAGACAGAGCTGAGAAAGGAAAGACACTCAGCCTGAAGGGTCTTTCTGAGAATCCAGCCCCCATATTATGGGTTTAGAGGAGGTGGGGCTGCATAATGGGCTGGGGTAGACATTGGAGGGAACAAAACAAAAACATTAGAAGGTTGAACCAAATGTGGCTAGAAATCTGAAGATTAAATGTTAGAGAATTTGTTTTTACGAGTTATTTGAAAGAAAAATCTAAGACTTTAGGATTTTGGGTAGAGGAGCTCTGTACGGGAAGCACTTTTGTTGCATTTTAAGAGGTCCAGGCAGCGTTTTAACAGTGTTGGGATGAGTAAGAAACAAAAACCATTGTCCCCCAAAAGGTGCTGCCGCTAGCGGGCAGGAGACAGCCAGAGACCCCTGGCAGCCAGGTTTGTGTCTACACGGGATAGTGACCTCAGTCCTGCCCCAGCCCAACAGGAACCTGCGAAAATGGCCTTTGGTTCGTCAGTTGCCAGGCGCACTCTAATAGTGGGCAGCTGAGGCGAAGCCCACATGGCTCTGTTTTTCCTGAAAATCCCTCCTTTCCCCTCAAGATCTAGCCTTAATGTAAACTCCCCCAGTGGGTGACCTGATGTGGTGGGACTAGGTTGGGCTAGCCAGGCTGGGTTAGGCAGGGCAACCCTCTCTTTCAAAAACTTCTGGTCTAGTCTTCTGAAAGTCAGCCTGTGATCCTTTCCATTAGCCAGCCTGAGACCTTGCCCACCTGTGGGAGTGCAGGGTGGCTGTACGCCTTGATGTGCAGCTTGATGTGCTATCAATGGTCAACCTTGATGTTGACCATGGATAGCAGTAACTGGCAGGTGGAGCACGGGGAACAAGTAATGACACCTGCACACTTGTGTCTCTGGCCGAGAGCCTGAACATGCATTTTGCAGCCCATCCGTAGCAGCACGCGTAAACCGAGAGGTTCTCCACAGTCTTGATGGTATTTTGTTCATCCGAACTGCGGAGTTTGGCACACTGCTTGGCTGTCACGGGTTATAAACCGGCAGCCACATGAATACGAGAATAGTGGCCTATGTGACCTCTGGCCACAAGAGGGGGCTCATTCCCCGTCCTTAGCAGGACCAGCGTTCTGATCCAGGCTCCCGGGAGCGGCAGGCAGGTCAGTCAAAAACTGCCCTAGGGTGAGAGTCTCAGATGTGGCCACCTCTTAATTATTTTATTGCAGGCTCTTAATCGGGGCCTTCTTGAACCAAAGTATGCGGATAACTTTGAAAAACCTGTATGTCGAGGTAGCATTTAACCAGCCAGGGTAAGCTACTAATTAACCGAAGATAGCCCTATGATTATTTTCATTTTGGGACTGGAAAAATGTTCCAGGAAGATGAAGACCCCTTTTCCTTAGGTCCCTTTCCTGAGAGTTGCAAAGCTGAGAGGCTCGGGAGGTGGAAACTGGACAGAAAACAGGTCTCACTTTGGAGCTGTGATATGCTGCCGCTACACAGGGCAGCCGGTGGGAATTCGGGAATTTTGGAGCCAGCTGGTGGCAGGGAGCTTTGCGTCCTACCTCAGACGTTTTGTAGGTTAAGGAATGAACTGGTTAAACCAAACAGCTGTGGCAGTCACTTGGGGCAGGGAGAGTGTGGAGCGTGAGGATGTGGAGAAGGGAATACAAGAGGAGAACAGGGCTTCCCTGCCTCAGGGGATAAAAGGTTGGTATTGGGGCAGAGGATGGGCCAGCCCTTGGATCGTCCTTGACAATAGCTGGAGGGCGACTCTCCCTTCAAGGGCCTCTCCCAGGGGTCTCCTAGAGGATGGGTTTTAGGTGGAAGGAAGAGGTTAGGGTCATCTCAACTTTCTGCAGCGAGATTACAGAAGAGGGTTCTTCTAGGACAGTGTGCCCTTTGCCTTTTTGTACTGGAGGAACATGAGGAACTAGAAAGAGGGTCCTGCTAAAGTCAGCTTCCTGGGTTGCAGTGTGATGCTGTTGATCTGTGTTGCTGTGTCTGTTTGGCGTGCCTTTCAGCAGTGAAAATGCCACCGTAGCCTACCACCTGCAATTTGGGGTTCCTTCAGAAGATGACAGTTTTATGAAGTATATGATGAATAAAGAGTTGGTGCTGGGCATTTTACTACAGGATCTCCATGATCAGAGAGTGTCCGGTTGTGAGACTTTGGGGCTTGATCCAGCATCCCTCTTGCTCTACGGTAAGTCGAAGAAGTCAGGAAGGCAGAGTTGTGACCTTCAGTAAGTGAACCAGATGGAGGGCAGCTGGTTTGGTTTGATTTCTGCGCAAGTGATGTTCACGCTCCATGGAGGAGGTTACACGGTCCTGCCTCCATGAGCAGACAGAGTAGGTGGGAAAAAATAATTAAATTGTAAAGATGAGGCTAAATGTTTCCCTGTTGTAGCTCACCCACATTTGGAGTCCCATATCCCACTTTGCAACATCATTAGTGAGCTTCATGAAAATGCCACGGTTTCACAAGAGAAGTATTGAATTTGGAACGAATGATACCGCTAAATCATTGAAAGATTATCTCAGTATGAGAAACCGATCTCCTTTTTCTGTTGAAGGCCACTGAGTCTATTACATTAACAGAGGGGCATGAAAGGGCAAATCAGTCTCTTTGGAAAGTTAATCAACTTACTCATCTACTTTTGAAACCAAGAGTGGAATGAGAACATTGGTATGTTACTTTTCATCAGCACGGAAAACACCCTGCTTGTCAGAACCTGAGAATTTTTAAGACTTTGCACAAAACCCGGTGAAAAGGAAGGTGGGGAGGAGAAGTAACCACAAGCCTTGGAGACGCGCCTCCATTGCGTCTGCACTGGGAGCTTCGGCCTGACCTCTGGTCTCACTTCCCACCCTGATCCCTCGCTTGGAGGGGCCCGGGCCCTTGTTAGTTAGCCCATAATGCCGACCATCTTGTATATTTCATCATCTGCGATCCGCCGGAAATACTTTCTGCACACCGGTAGTAGTAAATGCCAGTTAAATGAGTGAAAAAGGCAAATTAGGAGATGTAGTTAGCACCAGGCACGGTGCCAGCCAGCCTAGAATCAGAAGAGCAGGACAGATTGGCAAGTACTCCTGTTCCTACATAGTATGAGAAGGGGTGTTTATTCTACTGGCATTTCCTGATGACGGGAAGTGAAAGTAGGCTAATCCTTGTTTAAGACCGTGTAGAGTTATATAAAGCAGTTCTTAAAGCTTGCTTTTTCCCAAATAAGTAGAATGAATGATATTCAGAGGGCCAAATTTAAGCTCACTGAGAATGAATTGCTTCCTCACAGAGCAGTTTTACTTACCTGAATAAGTAAAGTGTGTCTGTGGGCCAGACAGAGAGCATCCAAGTGTAGGGTGAAGAGGTTATGCACCCCTCAACAGGAATTTTAGAAAGGGAGAGAGAGAGAGAAGGGAGGAAGGAAAGAAGGGAGGCAAGGAAGGAAGGAAGGGAGGAAACCCTTCAACCCCCTGCTGTATGAAGAGGTGAGAGAAGGGAGGTGCAGCTGCCTGAGATGCATCTGGTGGCCGTTGCTGTGTCATGAGTGATCTCGATTTTCCGAGCCCCCTCTGTACTTTGGTGGTTACCAGCTCTTTCCAAAGGTAGGCAGGGAAAGTAGAAGAGGAGGGTGAGAAAAAATTGAGAGGGTTATAAGGGTGGGAGGGCCACTCAGAGGGCAGTGGCTTGTGAGCCTGGGGAGAGCTTGGGAAGAATTTGAGCTCAGACAGATGGCCTTAGAGACATATCCCCGGGGCCAGACGGCGGCAGGTGCCCAAAGGATGCAGCCAGGAGTAAGCAGGAGATTGTATCATTGTTCCTCTCAGACCTTTCTGCTGGGGGTGGGGGGTTTCTATGACCCCGCGTCCACTTTCTAGAGCATGCATGTGCAGTGTTTGAGCCATTTGATACCCTCAGGAGTGTATCAGTCCAATGGGAGACAACGCAGTGACCATTTGAGAAGAGTGAGGAAGGAAGAAGAGAGACCCCGAAAAGGCAGGCAGGCTAAGGGAGGGGACGAACTCAGTCAGGGATAGGTTGGCTGAGCAGAGGCCCCTGGGAGGGACCCAGTGAGACCCCATGTGTTCTTAGACCAGTTTTCCATGTTCACCGCACTGTGGGTCTGAGGGTTACCCCACCTGCCTCCCGTGATCCTCTGGGCAACCAGTTTCCCACAGAGATGCTGTTCCAATTCTGCAAAGAGCAATGATTCTTCTTCTTCTTCTTTTTTTAAAGTTTATTTATTTTGAGAGAGAGAGTAAGAGAGAGAGAGAATCCCAAGTAGGCTCTGCACAGTGTGGAGCCTGATGGGGGGCTCGAACTCACGGATTGTGAGATCATGACCTGAGCTGAAGCCAGGACTTAACTGACTGGGCCACCCAGCCACTCCAAAGAACAATGATTCTTAAAATTCTTTTTCCAGGGGCGCCTGGATGGCTCAGTTGGTGAAGTGTCTGACTTCTTGATTTTGGCTCAGGTCATGATCTCACAGTTCGTGAGTTCAAGCCCTGCACTGTCAGTGCAGAGCCTACTTGGAATTCTCTCTCTTTCCCTCTCTCTCTGCCCCTTCCCCAGTCTCTCTCTCTCTCTCTCTCTCTCTCTCTCTCTCTCACAAAATATGTAAACTTAAAAAAATATTTTCCCACGTAATAAGAGCTTTTAGGATTGATTCCCTTAGCAACTTCCAAAGGTACCACACAGCAGTGTTAACTCTAGCCCTCATGCTGTACATTCCACCCCCAGAACTTATTTATTTTACAATTGGAAGTTTGTGCCTTTTGACCACCTTCACCCGGCCCTCTCCCTCTGCATCCCATCTGGTCTCTTTTTCTATGAGTTTGTTTTTCCTAGATTCCACGTGTAAGTGAGATTGTGCAACATTTTGCCTTTCTCCGTCTGACTTTGGTCACATAGCATGCCGCCCTCAAGGGTAAGGGAACTGCTTTACTAGATCTCACCTCCCCCTTCCGCTATTTTTGAGCTCCTTCACTTTATGGGTGTTTGGGGGCCTGGGGATGGGGCGGGGGTCAGTCTGTTTTACAAATGTAAAATGGCAGCACGAGTTATTTTAGACATCTTGACCTGGGGTAGTTATTTTGTACTGTTTTCGCATATGTGAAGGACTCAGCTAGACTAAATGAAGGCAAAAGCCAGATTTGTGTGAGAGAAAAGAGGAAAACGCTGCAGGCAGTGAGAAGAGTGAATCCTGTTTGCACATTTTGGGGGTAAACTGATGAGCTGGCTGCCGGCAGAGGAGCCAACGTGTGCGTTCCGGTTTTGACAGGACTGCTTGGTATCTAGGAAAATCACTTAGGTTGTGTATTGATTTTCCAGGAATCTTGGAAAGTTTAGCCAAGAGGCACTAATTCTCAAGTGGGGACAGTTTTGCCCCTCCACCGCCCCCTCGGGGTAGCTGGTAATGTCTGCCGATGTTTTTAGTTGTCACGACTGGGTGCGTATATGAGATACTAGCATCTAGCATCTAGATACCAGCATCTGACCATCTTACAAGGCACAGGGCCCCTCTCTACTGTGGTAGAGGTTTTTCCCCTGTGGGGGAGAAAAACAAAAAAATCAAAACCTCAAGGCAACCTGGCTAGACGCATGCGTGACAACATCCCTCCTGACCCTATAGCATGAGACCACTCAATCAGGCTGCATGTTTGTGTGTGACCATATAGGGAGACAAAGAAATAGAAAATGTATATAAAAAACTACGCTACCTGCCTTTCGGGGCTCAGTGCTTCGGGTACGAACCCAGCTAAGCGGCGCCGGCATGGGTGAAGTTGCTTCCTGGAAAGAAAAGCCTCAGTGTCACGACTCTGTGAGAGAATCCTGCTACACTACTGCAAAGATTTGTCCAGCCCCAAATGTCAACTGTGAGGACCCTGTGGCAGTGCACGGACCCTCCATGTGATGGTCCTCAGGTCCTTGCATGGGCATCTCCACCTTGGTCAGGCCAGGTCCACACCATTTCCCTCATCAGACTTGCTCACAGTCTATTGTATACCATTTAACACACTGAAAATTTAGAGGCTAGTAGATATCTATTAGCTAGAGGCTAATAGATTATGAAAACGGACATCATTTAAATGTCCTCAGCATCCAAAAGGCTTCAACAAAATGTTATCGTGAATCATACCCAAATGAGCAACGGGTTATCTGCGTTTTGAAAAGCATTCTAGGGCACGTGGGTGGCTCAGTCAGTTGAGGTCCCACTCTTGATTTTGGCTCAGGTCATGATCTCCTGGTTGGTGAGTTCGAGCCCTGCAACCGGCTCATGCTGATGGTGTGGAGCCTGCTTGGGATCTCTCTCTCTCTCTCTCTCTCTCTCTCTGCCCCTCCCCAACTTCGGGGCTATCTCTCTCTCAAAATCAAATAAAAATAAAAATTTAAGAAAAAAAAAAAAACGAAAGAAAAGCATTCAGAGATACATGTGTGTATTGACTGAAGAGAAAACTTCCTCTGTTAGGGATTTATAGGCATTTCAAGTTTACATAAGAGTTTATTTTCGAACCCAGTGAAATAAAATGAAAGCATAAATCTGTACAATAATCATGATTTAAAAAAATTAATGACTTCCGTTTGTATTTTCTTTTCAGAATGAAGCGGTGGATACCAGTCTGTATCTGAAAGCAGTGCTCCACTGAGTTTGGGGATGAGAGAATTCATGTCATTTTCCAGAAGGGATCCTGTGAATTAACGTGGAAGGACTGGCAATGGCCTCTCCCCCCCATTCTGCGTTTATGAGGTCTGGCTCCGTCTCCAGCAAAACAGCACCTGCGAGCTACTGCGGCTGGGTTCAGCCTTGACAGAGGCAGGAAGCCCGCAGTGGGGTTGGGGGTGGGGTGGGGTGGGGGGTAACGGGGTAGGTGGGCGGAGCTTGCCACGTAGGGCTACTGCTATTCTTGGAGCACTAGTTGCCCCCACCCACATGTGGACACTTTCTCTTTAGTGCAAAGGTGACCTTTGAGGCGGGATCTCCTCAGGTGGAAAGAGAACACAGTAGGTAGGCAGGGGTGAGGGACAACTGAGCCCCTCGCTCTCTGAAATCCCCTCCCATTCCCCCACTCCCGATGTGATATTTGATCTACCTCCAAGCAAGACTGTGAGGAAGGCACTGGACAAGACCAGAGCGGCAGAGTTCTGTGTCTATTTCGTGACCTGCAAACCGGCCTTGGCCACATTATCCGCTATCGCTGTGTTATGTATGGCTACGGAAATACCACACGTGTTTATTTCCCGTCTTCTTATTGCTCCCGTGACTCCTGAACCCCACTTTTGGAAAGTGGGTCCCTATAAGCTTGGGGTTTGAACACACAGCTATCGTTTGGGATAGTTTTGCCAATTTACAGTTTGTCACACTTCCACCCGAGAAACATTAAGGCTGCCTAGCCCTGTGCTGTAGATACTACGCCCGGGATTTTTATTGTCCAATGTTACTGGCCTTCCTATAAAACTCCGTGTCTTCAGGCAATGATGGTTTATCTTATTGAAGATGGTTTGAAGCAATTTCCAACTCTCTGTTGGAAAGAAACTGTTGGAGGCTTAATGCCAACTTGTTTGCAGGCTGAGGGGAGCATTAGTGACTGTGTTGATCATCTGTGGGTACAGAATTGCCTAGCATGAGGAAGCACAGTATTTGTTTTGTGGGGAAAATTGATTTGCTGGAAACTTTCCAAGAGAGAGTGTTGTGATCATATAATAAGAGTCTTAGCCCCCGTGTCTCAGTTAAATTGGCTGTGGGTGGACATCAGTATGAGGGGCTATTGTATATGGGGTTGTGTCCAAATGTGCGTGTCAGGCCAGATTTGCCTTGGTCTTTTTGAGATCCAGGACTCTGGAAAATGTGAATTTGCTTTCTTATTTAACTAGAGGGTGCATTTATTGTAAACTTGGTGTGCCATTTTGAGGATAGTTCCTTAAACTAGCAAAATAGGTGAATTTCCCTTCTTCCTCTTTATTTTTTACATGTCAAATGTAAATCTTAGTGTGTTTGTACTTTGTAGAATGTAATGAGTAACTTTAATGGAGAAGGATTTAAAAATATTTACAATAAATTATTTTTGTGTGGTCATTGTCACATTACTATTGCTTCGTAGCTGTTCACTCTCCAGGGCCATGATTTCAGCTGGCATTTTCTTGCAGTTAATGGTGTTGGAACTGATTTTTTTCATTTCCCTGAGGGCAGCTTCCCCTTCTGAGTAAGACTGAGCTGGATGGGCTGGGGTGGGCTGGGTCCTCCGTGCCAGTGAGAGCGGGGAGGGGCCCTCTCTCTATCTTCCAGTTCCTCCCAGGGCTCTCCCAGTAGGACCAGGTGTCTCAAGGGCCTGGGGCCAGAAGGAATGACCTGTTCCTGTGTGGAGACAGGATGGTGTGGTTTTCCCTTCTCCTGAGAGGCAAGTACATTTTCTTGGGTTTTGACCCCTTGTGAATCACACAGAAGACTTTCCATAGGTGTGGCTCTTTGGTTCATGTGCTGTGGAAAGAGTTGAACTTTGTGACTAAAGCATGTTGAAGTGTCTGGGAAAAAAATGGCACTCACGTATACACTATTCTGCAATTGGAGATGAGTTTATGGGTCGCCACACATCTTAACGGTGAGCACAATGCCTGGTGCATGATAAGGTTTCAACAACTATCTGTGAAGCAATTGAAAGATTTAAGAAGAAAAACCGGGGCGCCTGGGTGGTTCAGTCGGTTAAGCGGCCGACTTGGGCTCAGGTCATGATCTCTCGGTCCGTGAGTTCGAGCCCCGTGTTGGGCTCTGAGCTGACAGCTCGGAGCCTGGAGCCTCTTTCAGATTCTGTGTCTCCCTCTCTCTGACCCTCCCCCGTTCATGCTCTGTCTCTCTCTGTCTCAAAAATAAATAAACGTTAAAAAAAAATTTAAAAAAAAAAGAGAAACCGATCTTTTCTGGAAGTCACTTAGGGACAGGAAAGAGACAGCCAGATCAGTGGGATGTGCCGCTTCTCCTATTCCCAAGAAAAATTCTACCCATGTGTCCAATTCTTTTTTGCCTCTCAATTTAACTTAGTTCTGTAGATTTTTTTTTTTAATGTGCTTTGCAAACAATTACGAGACCGATTACAAGAAAAGAAGCTGCTGGTCTTGTTAGGCATTGAGACTCTGCACAGACCAAGTGGGAAACAGCAGGAAAAAAACAGCCCGGTGTGAAAAATAAAGACAAACTGTAGGGTTGTGGGCAGTCAGAGAAACGAGTGGTCAGCATACACCAGTGGGGTTTGAATAAATAGATTTGCTTTCCTTTACACGTGTTTGTGTCTTCTGAGGATGAGGTTCACGTTTTGTCTTTTCTCTTTTAGATGTGGGCTCTGCGTGGACTCCTGCTCCATCCAGAGTCTGGTCAGTGCTGAGAAAAACGAGAGAAGTCTCTCTGAGCCTTCCCTTCTCTGCTCCCGTTACTGTTTCATTGCTTTAAAATAACTAATTCATGCTGTCACCGCGCTGATGGCAGTGGTGTCCTCAGACATCCTTTCACCTTTCGGTTATCGTTAGAGACCATGTATTCTTAGCCTCAGAAGGTAGTCCCCTCATCGTCTATTTAGGAAACCGAGGTCTGGAGAGAGTGAAGAGTGAGGTTAGTGTTCCACCATTTTGGGGGGCAAAGTCCAGCCCATGGGACAACTGCACACCATCAGTGGCCTCCGACTTTGGCAGGCACCCCAAGGTCCTGCTCAGTTCAGGCTTGGCTGATGTCTGGGAAGCCACAGAGAGCACAGGCGGTGAGGGGGGAAGGGATGGGTTGACAGGTGTCACCATCAGACTGTAGAAGACTCTCTGGGATGGTAAAGACCACTCAGTGCTTCCCCAAGTGCCTTGCAAAAAGCACCCTCTGTCTAAAAGGGGGAAGAACTTATACTGACCCATTTAACAGATGGCAGAACTGAGGTATGCTCAGATCAAATGACTTTCAAGTTGCTTTCTGAACACAAGAGGCTGGCTTGAAAAAGAACAGAGTCAGAGAAATGTGAGCAGAATCTCCTTCTCTCTGAAGACTCCTGCAGTAACCTGGGGACTCATCTGTCCTGTTCTACCTATGCCCTTCCATTCCTGCGAGTATTCGAAGCACCCGTCACCTGCGGTTGTCCTAAAAATGTCAGCGTTTGCATTTATTGTCAACGGTAGATTTTCCTGACCCTGCCCTTTTCTTGTACCTCTCTTCTGTTCTGAATAAGAATTTACTCACGGGTTAAGGGATTATTTATAGATGCTACTCTGAACATAAAACGGAAACCACCAAACCTGCAGTGACTGTATAAAATGTGCCCCTGTGTACTGGCCATGTACAGGTGTGAGACCGGCAAGGGGGAAGGGAGTTTTCTGATTATATCTGTGCTCCCTCAAGGAGCAGTTTAGATCTTCAACCTCAGTATCTTATCCAGAACACAGGAATTCTTTCCCTGATGGATGACCTCTACAACCTAAATTGTGTAACATATTGTGTGTGTGTGTGTGTGTGTGTGCGCGCATTTTCAGGAAAAAGGGCTTCACAGCTTTCATCAGCAATCCTGAAATCCATGGAAAACAGGATCAGCATTATATACAGACATAGTAGGGATTCCAAAGCCCTCCCAAAGGGCTCTCCTGCTCAAATATAATTCCCTTTTGTAATCCCTCTAAATGTCACCATAAGAACAAATTTCTTTGGTTAAGCATTTATGCTTAATGTATTGCTGATAAAAAGTGTATACTATTTGGGACAAATAATACTTTCACGGATAAGACTCAAATTTGTATAACTTCCATTGTACTAAAAAGTTATAAACCGGTCAACTTCAGTAAAGGTCCAAAGTCCAAATGAAAAATTCCAGTATAAAACCCAGCGATTGTGTTTCTCTCCCTGGAGGAGAGCTGGGTGACCCTGATCATCAAGCACATCAACACGTGATTTTCCTCAGACATCGTGAAGTTTTTTTGTTTCTCTTTGCTCTTTGAGATATTTATTCAGGGTCTGTGGTAAATCAACTACATACATTAGATGCAGCCCTCCTGTTGATGGGTGTTAAAGCTGAGCCTTCAAGTTACATGCTCAAGGTCCTAGAGGGAGAAGGAGGTAGAACCAGGATTTGAATCATTGATTATCTGACTCTAATGTCCACACTCTTTCCCCTAAGTGAACCCTGGCCAAGGGTCAAAGTTAGAGTTCCATGTGAGAGAACTTTGCTGAAAACAGGAAGTTAGCAGAGGACAAGATGCCCAGATGTGATTGGCTCTTAGCTGAAGCCCACCAACTGGCTGAAGTCTCAGCAAACCTGTGTTGGCACATCCAGCCTCATGGGACCAGATTTATTATCCTCATTGGCATTTAGCACATTTTAAATAGCAGTTATTTAACCTTGGTTAGTTTTGGGGCCAAAACAGTGATTAAACACATAACATATCCACTACCTTGTCAACAAACTTCTTGCTGTTTTAACATCCCTAAAATTAGGACAATGGCCGTGGCTTAAAACAAGAAGTTGAGAACACAGGTGTGAATATAGAAATAGGCTAATTTGCTAATTATTCTTGGTCTCATATAAATTGTGGTTTAATATTTTCATGCCAGTTTACTGGTATCAGCTCTTATGAGTTACAAAACCCAAACACATTTGTGTTGAGTTTCTCTCCAAATATGATCATTTAGGCCTGGGGTCTGCAAACTTTTTTTTTTTTCCTGAACAGGGCAAAAAAAATAAATATTTTTGGCTTTGCAGGACCTCAGTGTGTGTCAACAACGACTCAGGTCTTCTGTGTTTGAGCAGCCATAGACAGTATGAACATGTATAAGCATGGCCGTGTTCCAATAACAATTTACTTATTTAAA